AAATCTTGTTTAAATACAAGATTCATGTGTATTGTTCCTTCAATCTTGCTGAAACCCAGAACTGATGTTCTGTGTAGTTCCTGACAGCTGAGACAGGTGGCGCTGTGATCACAGCGCACCTTGTCTCAGTGATAACACAGAGCAGACGAAAAACCTCAGCTTTTCGTCTGCTCTATGGTGAGCTCATGTTCCGTGGTTTCGGGTCCGCTAGAGGAGCGGGGACCCCGAAAACCACAGGGGAGGGGGAGGGTATGCGGTGTGGACAGAATCGCCGCCTCTCGTTTCATACAAGTGATCAGATCACTTGAAAACGAGCGGCGGCTCCACACTGTACACTTGGCTCTGCTTGTCTGGAGCGGGGCTAAGTATACAAAAAAACTACTCGCCCGGCGCCCGAAACTGCATGTCCTGGGCGTCGGGCGATAGGAATTCCACACCCCTGTGTACTCTGTATATTTCCTCCAGATATGTGCATTAATCTAGTGGGAAACGTTGCCTCTGTGCAGGAGTGTCCTGTTTATCGGTTTGTCTTTATCACAAAGTAAAAGGTTAGGTGTGTGCCAAGGCTGACTACTCTTTTATTTACAGTGTTGCTTCAATTTTTTGCACTAGTTAAAACTTGCTACATCTGCTTTATAAAATAAGTGCAGTAAATAAAAAGAATTTCTCTTTCAGAAAGGCTATTCCAATAAACTAAAAACTCACTTGTTGCTATGGCACCTAGCACTCCAGCTTGGCCCTGAATTGCTGTACTGAACACGGCGTCCAGACGTGGGATCAAAGTGACTATAACTGTATGGTATCATTCAGCTGAGTGATTTTTGTAAATGCCAGAAAGTAATGTCGGCAAATACTAACATTAACCAACATGTACACTAGGAATGAAAGGCTTCTTCTGTGCTGAGGATGCTGGGAAACACCAGAACAATCCCGTCACTGATGCAAGATGTGTACCCTTTCACAATAATGTAGTACACTACAAAAATGGCCGCATAAATTCATCTGTTTGGAGCTCATTAAAAACTCACTGCTGTAGCGTTGAAGCAGAAGTCAACCCATATCTATTTTATAGTTTTGGATAGAGTGCGGGAGGGTTAAAACGTGTCACGTATTTATTGTTGATACCATAGGGAAAGATTAAAGTGACAATTTGGCTAAGCGGGGCAGGGAGGAAAGCGCCGTCAGTGGCTATGTCACAGGAGGCCGAGCTCTCCTCCCGCTCAGCCTCCTGTGACAGATCAGGGTGGAGAGCGGTGCAGCTGTGACAGGAGGCCGAGCCCGCGGTGCCAGAGACTGAGCTCTCCTCCCCGTACCGCCAGCTCAGCCTCCTGTGACAGCTATAGGAGTCAGGATGGAGAGCGGTGTACAAACACAGCGATCGCTGAGTGTGTCTAAATAATTGAGGACATAGTATGTTTACTGTATCCCCAATTATGAATGAACAGGAAGTGCTCTACATCACTTCCTGTTCATTCATGATTGTTGACATAGTAAACATACTATCTCCACAGGTTATGAATGAACAGAAACACTTAGTATAGTGACTTCCTGTTTATTCATAACAGGGGCAGCAGAAAAAGAGATTGAGTACTCTGTGGGAGGAATGTATCAATACTGAAGCAGACAAAATGTGGAGCAGCTGTGCATAGTGACTAATCAACTTCTCTCTTCAGTGTGTTCAGTTAAGATTTGAAAATGAAAGAGAGGCACTGGTTGGTTGCCATACACATCTGCTCCAGTTTTGATAAATATCCTTCTGTGTCCTCAATCTCATTTTAAAAAGGGAAATATCAGGGGTCTGTTTAGGCTCCCCCCTGGCTGTCTCCTCCTCTGCTGCAGCGATGGTATGTCCCTCAGCATCCTTTACACTGTGTATAGAACATGATGATTCATGGGACCTTATACCTCTGCAACGGAGGAGGAGCGAGGTGAAAGGGACCGGTCTAGCACCAAGCCGGCTCTATGTGTATAACTTATGTTTGCACCTAAACAAAAACCAGCACTTAACCCTTGCAGTACGGAATTTTTGTTTTTACCTGAAACTCTGCTTTAAAGAAAACTTGTACTGAGCCAATATGAGAGCAACCACTGCTGACCTCTCATTCGGAGAGATCTTAGTTGCTTGATTGTCATACTGAATCAATGGCTTCAGCAGCATCGGCAGCAGCAGGCCCTGTGAGCAGTCTTTAGTAGCTGGGAATCTGGCTGTACACTGGAAGTGTTTCCGGCTGCTTTATAGCCACTCAAGCACTTTCACAAGCGATCACTATTGTAACCCCAGGCAGGCCCGGATTCCCCACAAGGCCACCGAGGCCAGGCCTCGGTGCGGCAGGGTGCAGAGGGGCGGCAGCAGTGTGGAATCCCCAGACGCCCAGAACATAAAGTTCCAGGCGCCAAGTTGCCTTCTACATTTAGTCCTGCTTTGGGAAGGCAGGACTAAATGTAGTGTGGGGAAGCCGCTTGTTCGTTTACAAGTGATGGCGGCGATGTCGCCGCGATCATGTGTAAAATGTGTGCAGCCTGTAAATCCTCCCTGACCGCCGATGTGGGGAGCAGAGCGGCAGGGGTAGAACTAACCCTGCCGCTCCTTGTGTACAATGAACACAGAGGGGCTTGTTAACTTTATTGCTATCACACAGGAGCTAGCTAAGTGAATTTTTTTTTTTTTTAATTAAAAAAAAGAAGAATTAAATGAAATAAAAAGGTGATTAAAAAGTAAAAAATAAGAGAAAATTATGTAAAAATAAGAAAATAATTATAAACAATAAGATAACAAAAAATAAGAAAAAAAAAGTAAACGATAAGCTAAAAATGTAAAAAAGTAAAAAAAAAAATAAAAAAAAACCAATAAAATAACATAAAACGAACCCTGCCGCCCCTGACATCCGGTTGCCATTCTCTGTTGATTCGGGGGGCGGGGGGCGCATTGCAGAACCTGGCCTTGGGGCAGCAGGGAGAGTAAATCCGGCGCTGCCCCCGGGTTCGGCATGGTGGATGGCAGCTGAAAGACGGTAGGAGACCGGTGAACATCCAGAGTTCCATGAACCCATTGCACTCCTGATCTCTATGTGCTGAAACCACCGGTGGGCGCTGCGGTGTCCAATGGATGGCGCCGTTACATACGTAAGGCATAAATGGGTCAACGGCACTCCAAATCTTGAATTGTGCCTCTTTTATTGACGAAAGCGCAGCATTTCACAAATGCAACATTTCGGGGTCACGCAGGATCCCCTTCCTCAGGCAAGACATATCTTGCTTGAGGAAGGGGATCCTGAGTGAGCCCGAAACGTTGCATTTGTAATGTGCTGCGCTTTTGCTAATAAAAGATGCGCAATTCAAGATTTGGAGTGCCGGTGCCCCATTTATGCTTTACCAGTGAACATCCATTCGCACATTTCCTCCATGCAGAATAAAACAGGAAGCAAAGTTGTCACCACTCCTGGTTTCTAAACTGTTATGATCTGTACTTGATCAGCTTCAGTGAAGTACCAAGGAGACATTAGGGGTCTAGTCAACCCCTAATTTCTCCTCAAAGACAACCTGTCACCATTAAAAGTGCTTGTGAGCCGCCTATCTGATAGTAATAAAAGTTTTTAAAAAAAGGCTTTAAGAAGTTAAAACAATAAATGTAAAACACCCTTGTCAAGATACCGTGCACAGGTGTCCCCACACCGTGTACAGGTATCTATACGGGAGGACCAAATGTGTGACCACACCAGACAATGCTTATGAGCATATAGTTTATTCAACACACTGAAAACAAGTAACCACAAGCAACTAATAATAGCCAACTAAACAAACAACATAAATCATACACAAAAGGTAACAGGACAAGTGAACCTGGGGAGCAAGGCAACACGAGGGGAGCCACGGACCACACCAGACAGGTCAGGGTACAAGGAGGCACCAGGATGCAGGAAACAGGTAATGGCGACAATACTGTGGCACCAGGCTCACTGCAGGGAGGGATTAAATACCCTCCCAGATCAGCATCAGGTGGTGCCTAAGTGCTGACACCTGCAGGTGAGCCCTGGAAGTGCAGGACCTGGTTCCAGAGTCACAGTGCCACCTGGAGGCGCTCAGGTCCCTCACAGCCACTGGCTGCCTGGAGACACCTGCAGGGGAGCACTGGAACTGCCGGATCTGCTCCAGCACCACCTGGAGGTGTTCAGATCCCTGACAACCCTCAAAGAATGTTTTAAAGTCCCTGTCCTCACATACATGCACATGCTAGTTTAAACATGTGCTGGGTGAGGCTACATATGAAAAAGATAACTGCACCACATATGTCCATGCATGTGGGAGTGAAAGCAATAATTCTAAGACCATAAATCACTTATCTACAAACTAATGACCTGTAAAACACAGGCACGTGCAGTTTTAATGATTGGCATGTTTGGTATCTTTTTGTTCACTCTGGACAACGTCAGTCCTTCTCAAAGGGGGATTCTTTCAACATCTCTGCTGCTGTATTTTGCATTCACATAACACTATGGAGAATTTAGCAGGAGGCACTATCATGTGTCCAGTGGGAAGATCATAATGGAAAAAGCCAGTGGATAATTCCAACTATTGACATCCATCACGCGGTATACTGAGCTTAGAGTAACGGGAGGACGCTAGTTTGTGTCCTCCCGTTACCCTAAGGAGAACTATGGGGAAAAACACTGACCCCATAGTTCTCCTTTAATAGACTGATCTTATCAATGTAATTAAACCAGGTTTTTCGTAAGACATATTTTATTTAAACCCAACATAAAATACCCATCGCGGCTCCTATTTACATGCTTATGTTTAGTTCTAGTGAATACACATATTGATCATTATTTATCTGGTAATACATTTTAGCCAGCGATGTACTATGCTCTTTGAATGATCCATGCTGCAATCTTACTTACAATCAAAAAGCTACATCAGTTCTGAACTTTGAAACAGTTGTTTGTCTTGATACATCAAAGGTCACATTAGCAGCTGACAGAAAGAAAGGTGTAATAACGTACCTACAACAGAAGCTCCTCTCTCTGCAAAGGCCAGGGCATACACTTTTCCCAAACCTGAAATGAAATGCAATAAATTGGCATTCTTAAAATAAAAAGGAACATGTTTAACTTTGATAACAGTTTTTTGGCTCCAAAGCAAACCCACAGGCAAATAACAGATATATCATCAACATTCACAGAGGGGAGATTGCACCTCCGGGTGCCTGCATGCAGCTTCCATCACAGAGTGTCCTGGTAAGAAAACAGTAACCAGCTGCCTAGGTGCCATCTCTGGACCGACCCTTCCTGCACCTTATTATAGGGTCATCACCAACAAATAGCAAAGTACAGAAGGCAGCAGGCCAGAGTAGATCGTTCTTTGTACCACAGTACCATGTTTTTCTAGAGTCTAGCTGCATTCTACAAGCACATGCAAGCATCTGGAGATGTCAACTACACTAAGCTCCTGGTCATGACCTGTTGGGCATTTCAGCCCACTATAACAACACTCAACATGAGGATTAACATTATATCCAATGGTAGTTCAATTGTTTTGTGAAAATTGTTGCCAGAAAAAGTACAATTTTTGTTTTTTTACAGGCAGAATCATGTGTTTTAGGCCCCATAGACTTAAATGGGAGCACCTGAAAATACGCGACACAAGCATTTTAGAGCATTTTAAGGTCTAACATCTAGTCTACTCCTCCTAGAACCTTCAGGCCTGTGGAACAAAATGGAGGATATAGAAGTGCAGCACTATATTCTTGGTGTAGCCCTTTGCTGGATGTGGAGACTTATAATCCTGATGATGAGGGCCCACAACAAACCCTACGACCCCAGTGATCCCCAATAAGCAAGCAAGGATGACGACAACATATGACGTCACAGATTATACTGCTTTCCATTGGCCAAAACAAGGACGCTTGAGGCTTGTTTATGGATGCATCTTCTTTGTCTGTCATGGTGTGCTGGACTATTGTGTGTGCTGTGAACTATACCCACAGCAGACCATTGTGGTGTTAATCATCCTGAGAAGCTATGTTGTCACAGCTTGGTCTCTGGTTTATAGTGGGCTGAATTTTGATGCCAAAACAGTACTTACCGTAATAAAAATACAGGTGTACGTAATTGTCTTTAAAAGGAGAATTATGAGGCGAGTGATTTTCACTCAGCCTCATAATCTGAGCCGACCTGTGACAATGAATTGGTCACAGGTCGGCTCAGTAGATCGGGAAGTGAGCGAACACATACCGTCGCTCGCTCACTTCTCGATCTATCCCTGCAGAGAGCTGTGACTGCCACTCACGGCTCCCTGCAGGTATTCCCCCCTTCCCTGTCCGATCCCCCAGCGCTGACTGGCGGAACGGACGGGGGAGGGGGCTGGAGCAGCTGGCTCTACCTCTGGATAGGCAGAGCCAGCTGTCAATCCCGCAGCTGGGTGGATCCAGACAGTTTTGTCGGGATCCGTCCCGGCTGCGCCGTCTCAGTATACCGCGAGCTGTAGCTCTCGGTATACTGAGCTTTGGGTTACGGGAGGACGCTAGTTTGTCTTCTCCCGTGACCCTTAGGAGAACTATGGGGAAAAGCCCTGACCACATAGTTCTCCTTTAATTCTAACTTTATTATGGTCACGGTAAAAAATTTCCACTCCAACACAAGTAGTAGGAACCTATATAGAGTTAGAGGCTCTGAAAACATATTCGATTTTGGACAGCACATAAAACTATACAAAAGGGCTACACCAAGAATATAGTGCTGCACAGTAACATTCATCCTGACACTGACACTGAGAATAAACACTAGAGACGAGCCAACAAAATAATTAGTTTGGACTTTGAGCATTACTTGTGACCGCTGGGCCATTTCTGATGCCCTGGCAGGGGGTGGGGAAGTTACAAGTGTCTCAGACAGCCCAAGCTGTTGAAAATGTGTGACATGCCTCTATGAGCAGAGGAAAGATCAAAGCGCTGCTGTCACTGAGTTTCAAAGCAGGCCCTAGTATCTGGTGCAAGGAGTGGTAAAGAGACTCACTGGTCATTCTTAGGGAAGGATCTGCCCATTTTCAGCTCGGCTTACTATAATTGGTTTACCGCTAAACCTCCAAAAGGCCTTTCCTTTATAATTGATCCAATTCAGACCTGGAACAAGTACACAGAATACGAATGTCAGAGAAAAGTCCATATCTGTATACTTGTTCAAAGTCTGTGACTCAAAATATTAAGCCAGTGGATCAGAATAACCAGCATTTTAAGAAAGTCTAATATATGGCAGCTTCTCTTCACAGATATACTTTTGAGTGCAATTTCAGAAGCAAGATGTAAAGTAAAGTGCTATGATCTTATGTCAACTGCCATTCAAATGTATGTGAAGCCTCTGGATAAAAACGTTTTATGCCAATCTAATAACTATATTAAAGCGCATCACTTTAATAAAAATGAAAGCAAAACATTTTGAATACCTTTTTTGTCCTTGTTTTCATAGCTGTCACATGACCACTATTTAGACACTCCCTACCTATAGAATAGGGCAAAGTACAGGCTTGCATTGGCTGTGTAAGGGGTCACACTGACCATGCTAGGACATATTCCTTTCCATGCCTACGTCAAGCAACAGGAAGGAAGGGAACTGGCAGGATCACCAGGTTGCTAGTAAAAAGAGGGTTGTAGCATTACTTATCAAGTTTAAGGGTTACGTACCCTTTAAGAGAATGGTCACGTTAAAAGAAGATGAGACTCATGCCTCCTATCCGACACCCATATCCTATGTCCTGCTGCATATGACCCTCCTACTCGAGCTATCTCACTATGGCGGGAATTCCTGTTGGATGTCATATATACGTGGCCTTAGAGCTCTCGAGTGGGGGCATCTACGAAGTGTACAGGCTTGCTCCATGACTAGAATGCCGTTTGCATTGCATTCCTAGCTACCGGTATCTACAGCTATTGACTCTGGGGCCTGCATTCTTGCCCCGTCTGGGTCAGATAAGAGAAGAGCCTTCTCTGCTCCTTGATATCCCTCTCCGGGAGTACCCCTTCCCCTCCCCTTTTGTATTTGTTGTTATACCTATAACTGTTTCATCATATGTATGATTGTTTTCCTTGATTTGTACTGAAAATCTCTAATAAAATCTGATTGAACCAAAAGAAGATGAATGGGGCTCCATGCTAACCACAACAGTATACGCATTTGCAAACATGCATGCTACAAACCTAACAATGCTAATCGCTTATGAATATAAAAATATGTTTTGCAAACCTGCTGACAGCCTTCCGAGCCGTAAAACCATGGTTGTGAGTGAAATGTTCGGTGCAGACAAAACACTTAAAGTGGAAATCTTGGAGAAATACACTTTGCTCTTTCTGCACTAGTGCTCCAAAGAAAACCAAAGGCTAACTAGGAATTGTAGTTATCATTTTCCTCTGAAAGTTTGAAGCAAGATGGACTTGTGCTTAAAGGAGAAGTATTGGGAGACAAAAATATATTCTTCCCAATATTTAGAGTTGGCGTATGACACTGCAGCTGTCACATGTCGGCTCCATAGGTCAAGAACTGAGCGATCACAAACCTCTTATCACTCAGCTCACGGTCGTCTCCCTGCAGAGAGAAGTGACTGTCACCTCTCCCTGCATAGATTCCCCCTCCCCTCTCGGTTCCTCCAGCGCTCATTGGAGGGACAGACAGAGGAGGGGGCAGGCACAGCTGGCTCAAGAGACGCAGAGCCAGCTGTCAATCAAGGGTAACGTTGTAAAGCCTCAGGGGCTCCAACAGTATGTCATTAGACCAGTGGTGGCGAACCTTGGCACTCCAGCTGTGCCAAAACTACAAATCCCAACATGCATCTGCCTCCGGGAGTTATGTCTGTGGCTGTCAGAGCCTTGCAATGCCTCATGGGACTTGTAGTTCCAAAACAGCTGGAGTG